AGGAAGCAGTGCAAGCTGTGCCTCAGTGCAAGCAGCGCGGTAACTAGCGTCGAGCGAGCGGAGGTGAGCGATCAAGTCAGCAGAGCGCTCAAACGAGGCAAGATCAGGAAACAGAAACGGGAGGAAAAGACGGCCGAGAGAGACAGTAGCGGGAGTAGAGTAGCGGGCCTTAATCGCAGTGAGGTACGCAGCAGCGGTGCGAACCTGAGTAAAGTGGACCTCCTCGGACTCAGGGAGGAGGCTGCTGAGTGCGATGCAGGCCGCAGCGTCACGCGACGTCCAAGCCGTCCGGTCAGCGCGCTGACGGGCAAAGCGAGCCGTAGCAGAGTCGTCAGGAGCAGGGCCTAAAGCGGTAGGCTCGGGGGGCTCGGGGAGGTCACCAGTAGCGTGTGACCAGAGGGTCTCGCCCCCCTGGACCTGACTCTCTAACAGACGACGAGCGCGAAGAAGCAAGACGGAAAAGTCAAGGGGTCTACCGTCAGCGTCGAAACGAAGAACTCGCGGAGTCGCCATAGTGAGAACCAACGCGAACGAACAGGCGAGTAACAACCGGGGGGGAAGAGGACTCAGTCGCAGCGGAAAGAGCGGGCTAGGGCGACGGGCCAAAACGTAGGGTAGGGCAACGGGCCAGGGCCTAGGGTAGGGCGACGGGCCAGAGCCTAGGGAGGGCGACGGGCCAGGGCCTAGGGAGGGCGACGGGCTAGGGCCTAGGGAGGGCGACGCGACGGGGGAAAGGGCGGGAGCGACGCGACGGGGCAGGGCGACGCGACGGGACAGGGCGACGCGACGGGGCAGGGCGGCGCGACGGAGCAGGGCGACGGGACAGGGCAGGGCGACGCGACGGGGTAGGGCGACGCGACGGGACAGGGCGACGGGACGGGACGGGACGGGACAGGGCGACGCGACGGGACGGGACAGGGTGACGCGACAGGACAGGGCGACGCGACGGGACGGGACAGGGTGACGCGACGGGACAGGGCGACGCGACGGGACGGGACAGGGCGACGCGACGGGACAGGGCGACGGTACGGGACAGGGCGACGCGACGGGACAGGGCGACGGGACAGGGCAGGGCGACGCGACGGGACAGGGGGGAACAGGCGGGCGCGACGCGACGGGGGGAACGGGCGCGACGCGACGGGGGGAACGGGCGCGACGCGACGGGGGGAACGGGCACGACGCGACGGGGGGAACGGGCGCGACGCGACGGGGGAGATGATGCTAGGCTCGGTACTAGGCGCGGTAACAACTAAACTGGTACGAACGAGAGGTAGGATCAGGCTCGGGAGGTACGAACGGAGAACGGAGGAACGGGATCCCACAGGATCCTAACCTAGCTGATACCATGTCAGAATGAGGAATGGATGTTGCATTGATGTTGGTTGGGGTACATATGACAAACCCTAACTTCTGTACCCCCTAAGACAAACCTCACTACAGAGTACAACATTTGACACACATTCACTATGTTGTGCAGGTACGGCTTCCGTGAAATTACCGAAGCGATCGTCACCAACCTGAGGCAGCAGCAGATGCGCCACATCCAGGCGTCTCCGTTCTTAGGAATTCAACTCGACGAGAGTACCGACCGGCGCAGAGGCAAGCACATGATAGTCTATCTTAGCTTCATTCGCGACGCCGAGGTCGTCACCGAGCTGTTTGGGCACCTGACAGTCGAGAAGTGCGACGCGTCGTCTCTGCTGACAGTACTTCTCGCCCATTTGGCCATGACGGGCGTCGACATCATGAAACTGACGGGCATCAGTACGGATGGCGCGAGCGTGATCCGGGGTTCACAGGCTGGAGTGGCGACCCAGCTGAAACTGCGAGTCCCACACCTGGTGACGTGCCACTGCATCGCTCACAGGTGCGATGACAAAATCTCTCTAGCGGTGGTGTATGATCTTGTTGTCAGACGTTTTTCAGTGTTCTAACCGCTTCTTTTTGCACAGTTGCAGGGAGGCTCTCGCCGCGAAGGACGCGGCGGAGGCGGTGCCCGACCTCAGCATGGTCGACACGGTCGTGCGGAGCATCGCAGAGAACTTGGGGAGGAGCATCGTCTTGCACTCCCGGTTCATGGAGCTACAACACATCCTGCACGAGACGTCTCTGGAGGTGCAGGGTTTTAAAGACGTTCGATGGCTGGCGCGTGGCGATGCGATTCGGAGGCTCGTGGAAGTCCTACCGGCGGCGATAGTGGTGTTGTGGGAGCAAGACAAGAAGGCCTACAAGACAGTCTCGAGTTTCAAGTTCCACTTCTTCCTGTTTTTCCTGGCAGATGTGCTGAAACTGCTCAACGAGCTGAACCTCAAGTTTCAACGGCGCATGGTGAGCAGTAGAGAGGTCCGTGCTGATGTTCATGCACTCGAACGTGTCTGACGTTGGCTTCTTGCCGTGTGCAGGTGGACATCACCCGGGTGACATCAATGGTCCACAACACGTGCGACAAGCTAAAGCAGCGATACATCGAGCACGGCGTCAACTACGCTGAGGATAGCGAGTTGCTCACCGAGTTCATGGAGAAGCACGGAGCGTTGGACAAGCGGGAGGTGACGGTCGAAGGCATGGATGGGGAGGGAAGTCCCGTTAAACACACTTTCATGCTGCACGAGGACGCCATCAAGGGACAGAAGTCAAAAGGCGACATAGAATCATGCATCACTGTAACCCGCCTGTTTGCGCAGGAAGTTGTGAAGCACCTCCTGAAGCGGATGGAGAGCCTAGACACCCTCACCGGAGCGAAGCTTTTCCTGCCTGACGCGTACCCCGAGGGAAGCGCGAAGAGAGGACCGCCTCTGCCAAGCCTGGTTCCAGTCTCTCCGCACGCTGTTCAGTGCGGAGAAGTGCGTACTTCCAGGTAATCTGTGCGTCTCTTTTGTGCATCAATGTTACACGCTTGGTGATATGGTACCGCCACTGACTTATCTCCCGTTGGCCCCCGCCCCTCTTGTACTTGCAATTGTGCGTGAGCAGGAGTGAGCTGGAAAAAGGCGGGACGAGAACTGGTGCCGTTTACCAAGATGATGGCCTCGCAGTACAAGGACCAGACCTTCCACGCCGGCCTCAAGCACATGTTGCGCAGCGACGACTGGGAGACGAGCTACCCCAACATGGTCCGCATCTGGATCGCCCTCGCTGTGCTGCCGCTGAGCACCGTCGAGTGCGAGCGCGGCTTCTCGAGGCAAAACATCATCAAATCGTGGCTCCGCGGGAATCTGTGCAACACACGCCTGGCGGACCTGATGTCGGTATCGCTCCTGCAGTACGAGCCGAACTGGGAGGACGTGGTGGCTGCTTGGAGGGGGGCAAAGAAGAGGCGCCCTGCTAAGGAAGTGACGACCAAGAAGAACACTCCAGAGAGAGCCCCAAAGCGGAAGGCCGAGAGAGGAACGTCAGCTGCTGCCTCCAATGAAGACGAAGATGATGAGGAGGACGTGGTCAGGCGGAGGACCTCTAAGAAGGGCAAAGCACGTGCAGCTGTAGCAGTGTCGGACGACAGTGATGATGACAATTGGCTTGATGTCCGCGCCACGATAGTAGAGTCTGACACTGAGTAGACTAGACTAGAGTAGATGTAATTTGTAGTGTAATAACACCTCACCAGTAGTTACATAATTTTTTATTTGATAGTTCTTTTACCGTAGTATTGATGAAGCTTTAACTTCTGCCAGAGTTGATGCAATGCAACCCAAAAAAAAAAAAAAAAAACCTGACAAGCCAGTGCTTTAAGATCTGACAGATTAGACAGAGATTTTGGAAAATCCTGATCCACCAGACAGGGCATCACTCAGCCCACTGATGAAGCAGACGGGCCCGAAGGGCCCGTCTGCTCCATCAGGCTGCCTCAGATCCTAGCGACGTCCCTGATCAACGAGTTTGGCAGGTGAGGAGTGGGTTTAACCTGTATGCTGAGGGTGACACTGCATGCAGTGGAATGGCATCCCGGACGGCTGGGTCTGGCTGCACTACCTCTCGCCCATGAAGTATGCTTATGAAGCGCTGACGATCAACCAAGTTTGGCAGGTGAGAAATCGGCACCCTTTTGCTGGGGACATGAGTATGGGTGGAATGATGTGGGCATCACTTCTCGCCATCTCCCACTTCTTCACTATCTTTCCCCACCATCTCCCACTCCCCACCATCTTTCCCCACCGTCTCCCACTCCTCAGCACCAATCCCCAATCTCCATTTCTCTCCTGAATCATCACCCCACCAGGCCCGGAGGACCCTGTTACTTGGAAGCTGGCACAATGTTTGATAATACACCCGTGGCGCCGTATTTAAATGCAACCAGAATCAATAAGGCCATGGTGGGGATGCGGCAGGTGCTGGCTGGTACTCCTTATAGCAAAATCACTACAAGCACATGTTTGCGGGACGGGCCTCAGCTGCTAACGACTACACTGGCGGTGAATCAGCTCGACATGTGGGAGAATGTTGCGGTGCTGCTGGGTTTTGGGGTGTTTGTACGGTTGGTTACGTTTCTGCTTCTGGTGAGGTTCAGTAAAGCTAAGCAGCAGTGAGAGGCTGATGTGTTAATCTCTCTATGCGATTGAAACATTAACATGATTATTTTATCATATGTTTGCGTCCAAGTGGAACATTGGAGCATTCTGCCGCTTGGAATACCAGAATGTGAACAAGCTATTGTATTAAGCGAAATTTCATTTTAGTCCCACTTTAACACTGCCACTCAACAAAAAAACACACAAGTGGTTGTCTTGGGTCGACTCTAGAGGACAATAACGAAGCGTCCATAACCGAGTTTCTCAAAAAGTCGACCGAAGACCCCACGTGATCAAACCCCCCGCATCCCCTCCCCCTGCGACCCCCCCCCACCCCCCCCACCTCCTACTCTTCCCCCCTCCCCTCTAAACCCCACCCCAATTCCCCCCCTCACCCAACGCCGCATTCCCCTGACATGCTAGCTTCACTCCTCTCCGTGATCCACGCTTGAATCAAATCCGCCCCCACATTTCAGCTGAGTTCATAGCATCACTCTAATAGCCACCACCACGGCCACCACCACGGCCACCACGGCCACCAGCGCCACCAGGACCATCGCTGTCACCGTCAGGCCCGTTGCCACCACGCCGGCCACGACCGCCACACTTGCCGAAGTTCCCAGTGAGCGCGGCGCTCCAGGAGTTGCCGGTCGTGCTGTCGGTAAAAATGACAGCGTACGGCGAATCAGTCGTGGTGTCGGTGGTCCCGATGAACGTCGCGAACAGCGCCTTGGTCTTCGCGCCCATCCACGCGAGGCGCTGGCGCTGGCGCTTCAGGAACTGCTGCGTCAGCTTCCCCGCGCTGTTCCCCGCGAGCTCGCGCCCGCGGCGGCGTCCGCCGAAGGCGTTCTGGAAGCCCTGCTTCGCGCCGTTGATCACCTTGGTGAACACGTTCTGCGTCACCGTCGCGTTCGGCACGCCCGCGAGAAGCGCCTCGACGACCGTCGCGTCGGCGCCTTCCACGGTGCCCGTCACGCGCAGCTCCGTGTGCGAGCCGCCGCGCCCGCCGCGCGTCTGTGTGGTCCAGCCGGTGGACGGCAGAGTGAGGGCGGCGGTGGCGGTGGAGTCACACGCCGCGCCTTGCACGATGTTGATCGTGTCGGGCGCGGTTCCGCTGTACTCGTCAAGATCCGCGTCGAAATAGAGGTTGTAGACGGGCGTGCCCGACGACTCGTCCTTAAAGACGGCGAGCAGGAACTTGCCGCGAGTCGCTCCGATGTCCGTCGTGCAGTTAGAGACCCAGGCGCCCACGCGACCTGCGGATGGTACGAAGGGGCGAGGGAGGGGGAAGAAGGGGGGCGGTGGGGGAAGAAGGGGAGGGGGGAGTGGGGGTTCCGGGGAGGGGCGGAAAGAGACCAGCGCACGTTTGGCATCCAATAGTGAACGGAAATTCCAGAAAAAAATGTATTCGGGATCGCATTGTGACGGGATGAACGAATCTGGCGGACTGAACCGTGCTAGATGGTGCACTCGTCGCACCTGTGAGATTTCCGGTGACGGACGCGTCGATCGGCGGGCCGTGGGGACCCTTCCGCCGCGGCCTCCGCCGCCGAAACCACCGCCACCCCCGTGACCGAGAACTGCGCAGGCAGCGCAAGAAAAAAACAGATCAGATGTTGCAAGTTGACGCGTTAAGATCGTAATGACACATTGAAACCCGAAGTAACGCGTCTGACATTCAAGGAAAGGGAGCGCCGGCCAACTACTTTAATTCAAACAAGGAAGGCTGGGAAGTCGGCGTCCACTGGACCAATTTAGTAGACGAGTTTTTCTGAGCTACGAGCATACCAGGCGCGACGAAGAGCAGGACGAGGAGAGGGACAAGACCGGCGCGCGTCATCGTGTCTGACGATCGAAGCAAGTTACGCCAAGAACAGTCGATTTTCGAGGGAAGCTACGAGTGCAGGGCGTGTGTAAAAGGATTGCTCAATGCGTTCTGCTGGTGAATGAGGGAATGCGTGCAGGTATTTGTCCAGTAGACTTGAGAGCAATTCTCAGTTGGCGCACACACAGCCAAGGTCGCGCTGCGCAGAGCCTAGGCGGAAGTGTGAGGGCAGACTGGTCAGACCACTGAACAGTGTGGGTCGCGGTCCGCGGAGACCAACCAACCCCAGGAAAGATTGGGAGGAATTTTCTTTCACAAAGAAGTCGTCGTTTTTCAGCACAGCAAGAACATCGTTTCGACATTCAGGCTCTGCCCGAAACAAGAGATTGTTTACGTATAACTCCTTTGAACCGATTGGTACCCTAGTATAAGTGTCAATTTTGAATGTACAATCCCCCAGCAATTTTCATCTTCAGGATTTGATGTGTAGATGTCGGGCAGGGAAACATTGACAAAACTACATCAACACAGCGCCGACAGTTTTTGACTGGTCAGAGGAAGGAATACCCCTGGTCATGTGGACAAGACAACCTGGCAACAACTGTCAGCTGACGACGAACGAGCGAACGTCAACGAGTTTCGCGAGTACTCTCGCGCGAGACGATTTCTGCATCACGACAGTAACACTGATGCAGTACGGAAGCATGTCTCGTCTCGTGTCTGGTCATCGATTTTCCCTTGTCGTGAGTACTGTAAGTATGTTCAGACGGGATTTCTGTTCATGCTCCAGGTTTGTTGGTTTGATCGCAGATGTTAATGCGCTTATATGCAGCCAGTCAGTGTTCAGCTGGTCATCGCACCTCCTAAGATGGTGATATGCTTTTCAATAATATGCTCGGTTTTGATTGCTCGTTAATTTATTTCTTGTTTGTTCAACCTGACGTATGTATGACTGTGCAAGACATGGTCTGACTGACCAGCGGGCCTTTAGGGAAAGCACATTCCCAGTTGACAGCGATGGATAAGCTACTACCATATGATAGGACAACAACTTTCGTTTATTTTTCCTGTTGAACAAATCATGTTTATGCTGTCCCAATGGTTAAAACCGGGACTACCGGTATTACTGGCACTGGCAGCACTAACAGCCACAGCAGCATTGGAAGCAACAAGGGCTACACATTTCTCCTCTCCCTCCCCTCCTTCGTCGCTCCTCACCAAGCTCAAAAGCATTGCCTGCCATCACCATCGCCATCACCATCACCGTCACCATCACCATCCCATCCCCATCCCCATCCCCATCATCAACCCTCCCATCATCCCCCTCCTCTGTGCCAAAGTACCTGTCTCCGAACTCCCCCATTCCTGTCTCCGAACTCCCCCATTTCTGTCTCCGAACTCCCCCATCCCTGTCTCCGAACTCCCCCATTCCTGTCTCCGAACTCCCCCATCCCTGTCTCCGAACTCCCCTATCCCTGTCTCTGAACTCCCCCATCCCTATCTCCGAACTCCCCCATCCCTGTCTCCGAACTCCCCCCTGTCTCCGAACTCCCCCATCCCTGTCTTCGAACTCCCCCATCCCCGTCTCCGAACTCCCCCATCCCTGTCTCCGAACTCCCCCATCCCTCTCTCCGAACTCCCCCATCCCTGTCTCCGAACTCCCCCATCCCTGTCTCCGAACTCCCCCATCCCTGTCTCCGAACTCCCCCATCCGTGTCTCCGAACTCCCCCCTGTCTCCGAACTCCCCCATCCCTGTCTCCGAAATCCCCCATCCCCGTCTCCGAACTCCCCCATCCCTGTCTCCGAACTCCCCCATCCCTGTCTCCGAACTCCCCCATCCCTGTCTCCGAACTCCCCTATCCCTGTCTCCGAACTCCCCCATCCCTGTCTCCGAACTCCCCCATCCCTGTCTCCGAACTCCCCCATCCCTGTCTCCGAACTCCCCCATCCCAGCACAACTCTCAACTCCTCCTCAATCCCCGCAACAACCTCCCACCCCTCCCCACACATCAAGTCGCCTCAAAAGCGTCACCATCACCATCCCTCTCATCATCCCTCCCAGCATCCCCCTCCTCTGTACCAAAGTACCGGTCCCCAAACTCCCCCATTCCTGGCACCACTCTGTACACCTCGTTAATCCCGGAGTCGATTTCTGATGTCACGATCTTGAGGTGGGGGAAGCGGCGGCACACGTTGTAAATGCCCTCCGGGGCCTGAAGGAGGGGTTGGGTGGGGCACAGTGACAGGTAGAGGCGAGCAATGGATGGGCGGCGAGGAAAAAAGACACAGGGATCGCAAGGTGAGGGAGGTGCTGACACCACTCTGCACTCCTCATTACTCCCCACGCCAAACCCCCACCCCTACCCTGCTCGATACTCCTCATTAAACCCCGAATCGATCTCCGATGTCACTATCTTGAGGTGGGGGAAGCGGCGGCAACGTGCAGCGAGGTTGTTTTTGAGACGTCTCAAAACCATTGTGAATGCCCTCAGGGGGCTGGGGGAGGGAAGGATGGGTGGGTGCAGGGAAGGCAGGAGAAAGAACAAAGATGAGTATGGACCTTGAGGTGGCGGAAGCGGCGGCACACATTGTGAATGCCCTCCGGGGGCTGGGGGAGGGAAGGATGGGTGGGTGCAGGGAAGGCAGGAGAAAGAACAAAGATGAGTATGGACCTTGAGGTGGCGGAAGCGGTGGCACACATTGTGAATGCCCTCCGGGGGCTGGGGGAGGGAAGGATGGGTGGGTGCAGGGAAGGCAGGAGAAAGAACAGAGATGAGTATGGACCTTGAGGTGGCGGAAGCGGCGGCACACATTGTGAATGCCCTCATGGGGCTGGGGGAGGGAAGGATGGGTGGGTGCAGGGAAGGCAGGAGAAAGAACAAAGATGAGTAAGGACCTTGAGGTGGCGGAAGCGGCGGCACACATTGTGAATGCCCTCCGGAGCCTTGGGGGGGGGGGAGGAGTGGTGGGGTGTAGGGAATGGAAGGGGCGCGAAGAGGAGGCGAGCAATGGAAGGGCAGAGAAAGAACAAGACACAGGGACGCTGAGGTGGGGGAAGCGGCGGCACACATTGTGAATGCCCTCCGTGCCTGGCGGGAGGATGGAGGTTTGCAACAGGCGAAGAAGGAGCAGAGAGAAGGGTGGGTGGGGCAGGAAAGGTAAATGGGAAGGCATGGCGATCTTGAGGTGGTGGAAGCACCGACACACTTTGTGAATGCCCTCTTGGGCTTGGGGGAGGGAAGGATGGGTGCGAAGGAGCATGGGGGGGAAGGTAAGGTGAAAGATGGAACATGGTAATGAACTGATGAGGTGGGTGAAGCACCGACACACTTTGTGAATGCCCTCAGGGGCCTGGGGGAGGGAGGTTAGAGCAGGGAAGATAGAAAGGGAGCAGGTGTAAGGAATGTCCAAGATGATAACCCTCTTCACCACTAATTACCGCTCTGTAATTCGCTTATTACACTCACTGTGAGTTGAAGAACATACTTTGCTCGTCACGCACCCCTGCTTGCAGCAGCTGTGGTGAGCAAGAACCCAACTGGTTGTCTCTTCACCACCAAGTACCGTTCTTAATCCCTTGAAGTCATGAGCTCACCGAGATGAGGTTGAGGAAAATGATTTGCTCGTCAGGCACCCTTCGGTTGCAGCAGCAGCTCGGATGAAGAATAACCCAGCTGATAATATCCTGCACCACTAAATACCGCTCTGCGCTCCTCATAAACTCACTGGAATGAGTTGAGGAATATGATTCGCTCCTCAAGAACCCTCGGTGCAGTAGCGCCTGGGGTAGCGGCTCTCTGCACCACTGATTACCGCTCTGCACCCTTCTAATCATGAACTCACCGAAATGAGGTTGAGGAAGATGATTCGCTCCTCAAGCACCCCTCGGTGCAGCAGCAGCTGGGTAGCCGCTCTCAGCACCACTTATTACCACTCTGCCCCCTTCTAATCATGACTTACCGAGATGAGGTTGAGGAAGATGATTCGCTCCTCAGGCACCCCTCGGTGCAGCAGCAGCTCGATAGCCTTGATGGCAGAGCGGCCTGGTGGAGAGAGTACAGGGGGGGTAGGAGGGGCAAGGCAGAGGATGAAGAGGGTGACCACAATGGTTCATTG